CTAATAACTTGTGCTATACATTATTAATAATAAAATTAGAAAATCTTATTAATATTATAATTGAAAAGTTTAATTTGCTTCATAACGTTTCCTAAATTCAAGTGATTTATTAAGTTGTAATTAAATGCTGTCAGGCTATTATTAATGAATCAAAAATCAATAACAAAACAAAAAGCTCAAATACTTTTGATTATAATTTAGATTTTCTGGAAAAATTAAAAAGAAAAATACTGTTTGGAGATAATTATTTATTAATCAAAATATTTTCCATTTGATTTTTAATATTATATTTAACTGCAAATATATTCATTTATTTGACTATACTATTTATTTATTATCAAATCGAATTTGAATTTTCAATACTAGAATATAGAAATTTAGTCAATAGAAGGTTAAAAATTGTATTAATGATTTGAATTAAAGTAAGTAAACTGGATTAAATGTATTTAAACAATAATTTTTCATATTGATTCAATATTTCGGAGGAAATAGTTAATTCTTAGCAAGATTATCTTGGTTCTATAATCTGATTAGCTGTAGTATTAAAAACAAATATCATTGATTTAATAAATACATATATTTAATTTCTACCTTTTGTAATATAAAATAATTTATGTTGTTCTCACAAATACTGAATTCAATTAAATTTCATAATTTAGTTGAAATATTTGAGAACATACTAAGCATATAAATTAATAGTTTGAGGAAATCAAGATCTATAAGAAATATAAAATCATCTATTCAAAAGTTTAGAGTTAAAAAGTATTTGAAACAAAAGTTCTTTATAATTTTAATAATCATATTATAGTATTTATTTATAATTACTGGAGAAATCATTATTGACATCAGGATCCTTTTAACACATTAGTTATGAACCGAAACAAAGAAATTTTGTTCACAATACCCAACCAAATCTTTAACTTAAAAGCTCTTCACTATAATTCAAGTCTATTCCTTGATTTTTTAAGATATCTACAGGATATATCGTGTAAGTTTGAGATACCAAAACTTTGTAATTCACCCAATCCAATTATTTATAATTGGAGTACAACTTCTAAATCAGGTTAAATCTCATCCATTTAATTGGCCTCATAACCTTAATTATCAAATTCACATGATAGAATGCTTCCCATTCACACATTCTATCCTCAAAGTTACTTAATTTAGGGCTTCTCCGTCAATTCTAGATTTCAGTTAGCAAAAGTCAGAGATAACTAAACTTTGATTATCAGTAAATTATCCTCATTTTAAACTGAAAAACCTTTGACACTGTTCACCTTCATCCTACACAATCGTATCTGTTAATAACAAAATCTCTCTTTATCAGTTATCTCAGGAAGTAATCTATTACAATTATAAAATTAATTTTCGAATTCTTCTAATTCATTCTGATCAAATGGATGAAACAGAATGACATTCAATATTCGCCTATATCTTTTCCTCAACCGAATATGTCACAGGGTCATCTCCCTCCTCCCACATATTTCATCCTCCTTAGATCTAGCCAAGCAAGTGCTATATAAATTATTTTATATAGTCATCCATGTCGGAGGCCTTTAATAGGTTGAATATAATAGTATAAGAGCTATTTGTATCTTTCAAGTCTTCTCAAAGACCCTGTTTCCCTGTAGGTTAGTTGCAAGTCAAACCTTTCTCTTAATCACTGAAAAAGGGGATTTGTTCAAATAATTTTTACACAAACTTATTTTTTTATATCCTTAAGATGTGAAAAATAAATGCAAACATTATAGATTATTAATGTATTGATAATCAGTAATATTTTGTGAAAATTACGATTTCTAAACTTATCTGTTTAAATAATTCTAAGGATTGGTTAAGCCTAATTCTGTAAATAAACAGTATCTTCAAAACTTAGATTAATAAATTTAAATTTTGAATGGCTAGAAGGAAATAATAGGATAAAGTGAACAGAAAGTATAATATAAAATGTGGTTAATACTAAACTTCATAAAGATTATAGTTTAGAAGAAATCTTCGAATAAATGCCATCTAATAGTAAATTACGAAAAAATAATCTGATTTCGACATATATATAAATGGTAAATTTATATGATATTATGTTAGAATAAATGATAATAGATTAATGTAATAAGTCTTTCTAATTTAATACAGATTGAATATTACTTACCATAATATGATAAAAAACTAATAATTATTATTAGGTCATCTATTGAAAATAAGTTAATTTCTAAGTCTTTCATATCATTCAGTAGAGAGTATAAAAATAAAATAAATAATCCTGAACAACTAAATATATTAGATTAGTAAAAATAATTAAAGCAAAACTAGATCATAAATCTTTACTTTCTTATCTTAATTATGCCAAAAATTAGCAATCTATCTTTATCTAAAGAGATTATGCAATTCTCCCAAATTTAACACATATTGCGGTTCTAATTAATTCATTCCCATTTAACCAACATTTATCCTACTGATAGAAAAGGATTTCTGGTCAAGATTTTAGACTTAAAAATTAAACAAATAGAAGCTCGATTTTTTTCCAAAATGTCTTTAATCGTAAATCACAACGTCTTCTTTACAATATAATCTTAGAAGATTTTAATATTTGGAAATTGTGGCAATCAAATATTACTCTTAGAAATACTTTAATTATTTTCTCATTCAAATAAAGTATCACTCCTTTTATTGTTACTATTGGGAATTATCAAATTAAAAATCTCACAGGATTTATTTTTTTTTTCATTTTCAATGGTTGTTATCATTTCAAACATTAAAAAAATCACAAACAATAAAGTTTTCTAAAAGTAATCATCATCTAGCTTTTAAAACTTGATATTTCTTTGTTATATTACCCTAATTAAATATTAATATTTATTTCTATTATTTAAATTTGTTTAGACATAATATTTTTCATAATTAATGATAAATAATGTTAACCATTCGATGATCAAATTCTTCGAAAATAGTTTTTGCTTTCATTAATATTGCATACCTAATAATATTTTATAAATATTGATACTTCTTAATAGTTGCATGCGATACTACATCAATAAATGTTAAGTTTATTTTATTAATTTGATTGTTCAATCTAAGGAAATCATTGAATGAATATTATTTTTAGCAGAAGGATTGACAAGAGAAGAATGGCAAATCAAGAAAGGATTTAAGATGTTTTGAACCAATTTTGCCATTTCATATAGCTTTTTAACAGTAATCTAGCATAATAAAATTATTGGTTTATTTTCTTATGCACAATGTAATTTGCCTTCACCTAAATGCATAATTATTAAAAATATTATGAACCTCTCCTCAATAAAAATAGAAACTTGATTGATTCTACTTCTTCTTTCTCAAGAGAAGTTCCTTTAATTCTTAATATTCTTTTTTATGAGATATAATGTTATCCTTTTTCATTTTTATACTTAGATTATGATTAAACTACTTTTTTTTAGATTGTTGCAAGCAGTTTATTATGAAAGTATTCTTCACTTAGTTACTTGACGATTAATTTTATTCTGATGCAGTTTTACTTAATCATATTCACAACAGTTTTATGAATAATTTAATTTTGGTTGTTTATTCATAAATCCTAATTAATTAGTCTTTAAAATTAATTTTATTAATTATTTTATAGAATTTGATTTAGAACAGAAGCTTTAGAGACTTATTTCGATTCCTTGTTGACTTGTTAAGTTTTGTATAAAAAATGAGATTAAATTATTACAATTCTTTATACTACGAAGAAATCAAGAAGAAAACTCTTAATATTTTAACAAGTATAAAACTGCAATATTTTCAATTTTCTCCAAAATAACAATGAAAATATTTTCCTGGAACAATTATATTTTATGTAAAAAGCAACTTCATCATATTTAAAAACACCAAAATAGCCAATTTGTTGATTTTTTTGACTTTATCTGATGAATAAATGAATATTTTTACTGGTCTAGCTAAAATTACTTATAGTGATCAAATAGAATTTGAATGGTACTTTATTGAAAATACAACGATAATTTAAATCAATATTTATAAATATATTTCATATTATTCATTATCAAATTGGTATATTATCCAATAATTTTATTTTAGATTAACCATAAACACCTACACATGGATATAATTCTTATGATGTATCTATATCCAACTACTAATAATCGATATTATATTTACAACAGTTGTTGCTTATGGATTATTCTATCTACTCCATTTAATGTATTTATGTTCAATACATACTTCAATTATTATTATATCATTATTTGTAAATTAGAATGATAATGATTTACCATTTAGATCTTTGTTATGATGTGAATAAGTACAACCACCACATTATATTAAATATGTTCTATTATAATATAAATATATACCCATACCCAGTTTAATAACAATTATAATAATTATTTTTCTACATAATGTCTCTAAATCCTATTCCAACCATAAAATATGATCCACTTATCATTTAAAATGCAAATTATATTTTCCCAGTCTTTGGAATTGCTTATTCACAAAGACAAAAACAAAAATAACTATTATTACTAGTTTCTGCTACAACTTTTCCACCTTCACTTAATTAACAATTAGTATGCTTATAAGTATTTGAAAATGATAATGATTTGTTATATAATTGAATCTAAAAATAATATAATAAATTGATTATAAATATACTTTTTCTAATTGGATTTTATTTAATTTTTCTTATTCTAACTTAATTTTATTAATTTAATCAAGTTTGGTTAATGCTTCTTATAATTCTGATATTTTTTAACTTAAATTTTAATTAAATTCCTATTTTACTTTATTTTCTATGATAAAATAATATCAAAATCTATTACATTCATCTTCAAATTTCTTCATCATTACTTATTTATCCTATTCATATTACTTTTTATTATCTTTAATTGTTTATTCATATTATTCTTTCATATTTTTTTATTCTTTTTCCTTTTATTCTAATGTTTGATTTATCTCATTGAATTT